AATGGCTCAACTATTGAAGTGAAGGATAATCAAACTCAACTCTGGAAGTGTATCTTTCCACCAAAATTAAAGTGGAATTCACTGGCAGTAGGTTCACTTGTTTTCCTGGTGAAATTACTCAATTATTCATAAATGTTTGCAGGTTATTGGACTGGGTGACCCACTTGGCCCTACAACAACCACTTGCGAGATGCAAGCGAGAGCAGTTGCACACATGCAACGGGTTAAACTGCCCTTCTGAGGAAGCTATGCTTGAAGAAATCAGAGGTTGTGCGACGAAAATTAGATTACATCAAAATGTTATGGGAACGTAATCATTTTATAAGAAAAGGAGGCAACACCACTACAATATCGCTGTTCTACAAGGGAGGCTTCATTACAAGTCGATCTTATACCATATATGGAACAGCTAGCGGGAATTGTCGGTTGCATGCCCTCGCCAGCTGGAAAATATGGCTGAGTGATCCAGAATTGGCTTTCGTGGTTAGTCTAGAACTAGAGCATGACGTTTATCCTAATTGTTGACCCAAGTAATGAGACAACTCTCTAAAGATCAGATCAGCCGGTACAATATGACGTAAAGATTACAAGCAATTGCGCACAACGAAGCATTTGTTGGTTAACGGTATCGTCCACAAACAATCGCTATAAAGTGTTGCCTCGCGCTAGCTACATAGTTGAGAGTACCTTCGAAGTTAAATTTTTGTCGAAACCAGGCTCTGAAGAGCGGAAATAGTATGAGAAAGGTGAATTTGAGACGTGCCAAGATGTAGTAGGACAAGCTGTGGATTGTGGATGGTTTTGAACGCCTAAGGATCATATTGGTTTCTTACGGAAACGCTAGTCATACGATATGTCGTAATAATGTGGAATTATACTCCGGATACATTCCGTACTAACAGAACTATCAAGAAGTCACAGTTCATAGTTACAAATTATAGTTGCGCCTTGTTGATAGGTGCTGCTAAACGGTTTGCTGGAGGTTAGAATTAGCAGCTTTGAAATCCTTGAAATTGAAATTCCGAAGCTTCCACGGAAATTTCCGAAGAAGCACCGTTCGCGATCGGAAGTTCCTGTAATTTCAGCTTATTAGGACTTCCGCACGGCTATGCATTAGCGTAAAATAAATGGG